GATACATCTAACTACTCAACTATGGACTCCAATGATGATTTTGGTGGTTGATACAGCTGAGGTGGAGATGACCTTGGTTGATATGCTTGATTTGGTCTTGGGTTTTATACATAACTGAATTTCCGGTGATCCCTCCATCCCAGATTATAAATGTTGGCATGGGGATTTTAAGGTCTCTAGAGAGGTCCCAAAAAATTTCCCATTGCATTTACTTCTGCGGCAATATCTTCTTGTAAGATCAAACAATAGTATGTAGGATAGTCTGACATTATGCATACTCTGCATAGTCTAGTTGTTCCAATTTTATCTATGACGAGAGAATTAACCATATAATTCAACTTATCAATTTTATTCTCCAAAGTAAATGTAGTTATCTTACGAACTCGTCAAGTAGGTTCACTAGAAGGGTGAAACTGTTGAGAGTTGACGGCCATTGTAGAAAAGTTGATGGTCATTGTAGAAATTAAATTTCTAGTTGTATTTGGAGTAATGTTCACGAGAGCCCCTCCACTAGCTGCATCGATCATCTTCATTTCCAACGGAAGTAAGCCTTCATAGAAATACTAGAGAAGAGTTTATTCAGTTAATTCGTTATTGAAAACTAGCACAAAGTTTCTTGAATCATTCACAATAGTCGTATAACGACTCTCTGTCTTTTTTATTTTGGATTCCTATGATATTTCTCCTTAACTTACTCACTTTCGTCGTAGGGAATAACCTATTAAGAAAAAGTCAAGTCATATTAACCCATGTTGTAATAGAATTAACAGGTAAATAAAATAGTCATTCCTTAGCCAAATTAGCTAAGGAAAAAGGGAAAGCGTGAAGTCTAATATGATCCTTAGATACTACTTGTGGTTTCATGCTTGAACAAACCATGTAAATTTCTGTGATATTTTCACTTGTTAATCTATATAAGGTAGAAATAAGGTGGATAAGACTCCTTTTAAGTTGGAATGGAGTTTCGCAATGAGGAAAGGCGATGTAAAACAATTATTGTATGACAGGTGTCGTAGCTAGTTCTTGGATTGTTTGATCACCCATCGAAATTGGTTATTCTAGCGTGAAATATGTTCTGGCATTGGTGGTTCCATTAGGTTCTGGATTTGGTTGATGTTGCCTTTGTTGTTGACATTGTTACCTACTTTCTAGAAGCGTTTGTGTGTGTATTCTATGAGCTAATGATTCAATTTCTAGTTCGTAGTCTACTAGCTCTCTTGGGTTATGCCTGGTCATAAATCAAAACAAACAATATCAGTAATTTTCCGAAGTCCCTAGCAACGCACCAATTTGACAAGTGTCGTATATTGTCAAATAAATAATCCTTAATATCAAAATAGGATAATAATAAGCGTAGAAAAGATAATAAGGGTCGATCCACAAGGACTAAGCACTTCTGATGTTGAGAGTTTATGACTCTGACTTTGATGAGAAGGTAAAGAAAATGGGGGGGGTTCGATTGAGAGAGCGAAGTAAAAAAAATAAATGTTAAATAGTAAAGTGAATGGGAAAGATTAAATTTAGAAAAATAATGAAAGTAAATTATGATAGAAGAAAATCAGTTTAATAAAGTAGCCTCAAGCTTCACTTTGCCTCAATTCATTTCGATTATCGAAAGAAATTTTACTTCGGGATTCATGTCGATTACAGTCTACAAGGCTCAACCCTTGTAAATTACTTTTCTTTTCTGTAAACCAATATTCCCAAGACAATCTTTGAAATTAAATCCTTGTTTGGACTAACTACGGCTATCGTCATTAGCAAAAAAAGCTTCAAGCGTTGGAAAAGCCCAACTCAGATTATGTTGTCTTAATGAGAATCTAATATGATCTCAATTTACCTTAGAAGACCACTGATATATGTGATCATAGGAAGTCGAACTGCTGCCATCCGATTCTTCCTCCTAGCTTTAAATCAGAATAACATCCAAATCAACGAGCTCTTTTTGAAATGAAAGTGTTGAGATTTTTTAAAAGAAAGGTTGATTGTTAATCCAAGTTTGCAGAAAATTGAGAATGATATCTGAATATATTAAGTGTTTTTCAATTCTCACGAAACCAATTGAGTCATCGCGAAGTCATCGGCTAATTGATAAAATTAGCTAAGCATGATAGAAATCATACTTAGCATATTTTAAAGAAAACAAGTAAAGACTTAAAGTAAAAACAAAGATGGAAAGAAGAAAACTTTTAAAAAATAGAAAGAAAACAAAAACAAATCGAATCCAAGTACTTTTCAAGCTTTACCCTAAGGGGTATTTATAACTTTCAAATAACCTAAGAAAAATAAAATGAAATAACAAAGGATAAAATCCTAAAAAATTCAAATAAAAAATCCTAAATAACAAAATGATAATTTCCAAATATTTGTTTTGAATTCAAATGCAAACTTAAATCCTAAGCAATTTTCGCGCACTTCCCTTCTAGATAATGTTGATTGGATCGCCTTCTAGAAGCTGTCGCTTACTGGACTACCAGAATCCACCACGTCAGACACCATCATGCCCATGATTCCAGCCTTATTCTAGAAAATAAAAAATTACAGAACTTGATCTTTAAATGTTGTTTTATGGAAATTAAAATCTTGCACATAATCAAATAAAAACAACTCAAATCAGCAATATTGAACAATCAACAAGGAGTAATTAACGATGAAATAGTGACAAAATAAATCACTCATCGCCCCCTAATGTTAGAAACTTTTTATGGATGCTTATAGTTTTCAGAATTCCTACAAAGGGGTTTTTGAGGTCTCGGGGTCTAAGGCTGAGTACGTGTTTTGTTGGTGTGGATCTGTGCTTAAGGAAGCGAATCATCTTTTTGTAAGCTGCTATTTTATTTCTCAATTCTGGAAAGCCATTTTAATGTGGGGGAGAGTTACTTGGATGGACTTTACCGATTTATCGAATCACTTGGAATTCGTATTCGATGTGAAACTTTCGGGTAGGTTAAAGTGCTTTTGACTTGTCTCAATTGCTTCTGGATTATGGTCAATTTGGTTAGCTCGGGACGATTTGATTTTGAACAAGAGGAGGATTGTTCTTAAGGATTTTGTTTCTATTCCAAGTTGTAAACATTCTTATTGGTGAAAGAAAAATCAAGGAATTTAAACTTCTTCGATGATGTATGGTGGGTGAATCCTAGGAGCTGTTTGTCTATTTCATTTCAAAATCTAGTGAAGGGGAGTGTGTTTGATTCTGCTTCTGTGATGTGTCTTATAATTGAAGTGACAAAGGAAGAGTGTGGAGGTTGTGGTTGTGTGCTTCGATCCAAGTGCGGCATTTTAAGAGCGTTATTTTCGGGTCCTGTCGAGGATTCTAATGTTGATTTTACTGTAATTTTAGGTATTAAATTGGTGTTAGATGTGTTTATTGAAGTTGATTGGTTAGGATCATCAAATATGACGGTGGAACTATATTCTCGTACCGTTGTTCACTGGATTTACAATCTTGTATCTCGTCTTTTCAAGTGGTGACCATTGTTTCGAGAAGTCGATGAGAAGATTAACTTTATTAGGTCGGTTCAATTCAAAGGTTTATTGCATTCGGGTAACTCATTGGCATATTGGCTAGCTTGTAGCAGATCGTCACGGTTAAATTCTTTTAAAGCTTAGTGGTAAGGATGTCGTTGCTTCGACAGCAAAGTTATTTGCATTGGAAGTGTTTCTGGTTTGTTGCGATGGCCGAGTTTCTTAGGAATTTCGTTCGGTTGAAGGTTTTGGTTGAGGTGAGTCTCTCTTTGTCTTGTGTTCTCTCTTCTGGTCATATGGTTGGCTATCGTCTGCGTTTCGAGTGCTGAATTTTTAGGCACATGGTGTTCTTACCGTATGTTCGTGCTATTGCTCTACTGTTCTTGTTTCATGTTTTGTTTCTGTTTTCACATTCTGCTTGTTTTGTTTTCGCTTTCTTTTTTTTTATTTCTGGTCGCTTCTTATTTGGTGCTTGGTAGTATGTACTCTTTTATTCCATTTAGGCTTAATGGGTTAATGGGGTTTTTAATGAGGCATATTACCAAGTTTTTGTTTATTAATAAAAATATTTGTTTACTTGTAAAAAAAAAACAATCTAATAGACATTTTTACTTCAAATATAGTGTCTCGATTCTTCAATGAGAAGCAGTGGTCTCTTTCTCATCCTTGGTTTTGGTGTGGTAACCAGGAATCTTCTCTTTGATTTTCTACAAAAGTCTATTTTTCTCTTTTGACTCTTCTTCATGGTGCTCAATAACTTTATCAACCGATACAAAAGCACGCATTGTTGATGGCATTGGTGGTGGTGGTGTTGTTGTAACATCTTCATCTTTCTTATGCTATCCGGAGAGTTTCTCTTTGATCTTGTCGATGAAACCCTTCTTCTCCTATGTCTCCGGGTGCTCCTCAAACTTTTCCACCGGAACTGTAGTTTCATCTTTTTTTTTCTTCACCGATTTTCTCCTTAATCTTCTTCATTGATCCTTTCTTTTCCATCTTCTCCTCTCCGTCTTCACCTTATTCCTGATCGCTAGACTGCAAATTCACACAACACATCGCATGCTATAGTATTTGTAAATATCGAAAACTTTTTAAACATAAACATAAAAGAATGTGAAAAATACATATAGAGCTGGAACTGCTACTAGATCAGTGAATCTTCTCTAGGAGATTGGGCTTCTTCTCTTCACCTTCTTTATATTCCTCTTCCGCGTGTGATTCTTAATCTCAACTTTGTCGAACTCAGTGGCCAAGGCTTTTTGCTGAGGCTTGGGCTTCTTCACTTTGTAACACCCTCAGAACGATACTGGTGACCCGATCCGATTCGAGGTGTCAAATTAGGGCCACCGGAGCGATCCACAGTAAAAATCCAAGAAAATTTTAATTTTTTGTTAATTCATCTAAAACCGTAAAATAATTTATAAATAAAATATAAATTCATAAAATTATTTATATATTAGAATAAAATCCACTAATATCCAATAGTAACACAAGTTTCATACTCGAATATAAAAACAGAACACAACCTACATGCCGCCTAATTACATGCACCGTACTCCGCAAACAATGCCGGTGGGACTCCATTACTGATGTCGATACAAGCACAAGATCAAACCCTTTAACCTGAAATGGTAAACAATAGAGTGAGCTTTGGAAAGCTCAACAATATAGAACTACCAGATGAATGCAATAGGTCATCAGGTATATGGTAAAGCGTAGCTTTCCTTAGTGGAACAGACATCATCAGATTCTATTAGTGATTTCAGATTCTATTAGCTAAGTCTTCAGTTACAGACAGGAATTTAAGATTCGAAGGAAATATTCAAAGACATATTCAGAAGATTAAATTGGGGAGTCTAGTTTGTTCCAACAAAATAGAGAAATGTGTACAAATCCTTTAAAAACATTAGTAGTTTAAAACATATTTTAAAACCATAGTAATACACTCCAACTAAACATCGATATGCAGTTTCCCCATATCTGTATCCATAAGGACTTACCCTAAGCACACATAAAAAAAGCCACCCTAAAGGGGTACCTTGGGGCCTATGGGCCTACCCATGGGTCTCCTTAGGTCCCTAAGGATTTACAAGCTTGATCAGAGTTGAACCTCTGTACTCCACACTCCTACCCATACATGAATGCCCTCCATCCGTACACCAAAATACATTCCCATACCAAGGGAGTGCCTTGGGGCCTTAGAGCCTACCCAATAAATACCTTAGGTTCGTAAGGAATTGTCAGCTTGATCAGAGTTGAACCTCCATACTCTAGCCTACCCAGATAGTGTCCCAATAAAACAATTCAAGTAGTAACCAATAGATTTCATGATCCATAAATCAGGAACGATTATATTTTCTAGTGAAAATAGGTAACCCGAGAGCACATATCAGGTAACCATAGTTTATAAACAGTAAATCAGAATATCAAACAGTTAAAAGATTCATTAAAATAGTAACTTCAGTAAATCACATTTCAGGACCAATTAAATAATCATATAGCACGTAGGGAACACAGTAGATGATCCAATTATTCTCCGGAGGTACTTGGTATTTATCAGTAGGGAACCTCGAAACTTTTGTAATTTGTTTAAATTTCAGAAATGAGATCCCTATTAAAAGGGTTCAATAACTAACAGATTAATCGGTCATTCATAAAGTAATACATCATGCTCATATAGTGTTTTGACATATCTAAAGGGTATTTAAGAACTGTTGTATCAGAATTACTTAAGATTCGAATATTAGAGGGGTGATTCCGTCAATCAGATTCATAAGGGCATTATAGTCATTTGATTCCTGAAAAAATTTGATAAATCAGTTTAATATAGGTATGCAAGGATTTATAGAATTCTAGATTTCAAACATCTTAATAGGTTTCCAATTCCAATCACATTTCACAAATCCCAACAAAGGTAATACTTATCCAGTATGTAGGTAGAGAAAACTTCACGAATGCTTATTTCTTAAAACTTATGGCAATGTAGAATCGAACTGATCACCTTCAGAACCATCTTTGGACTGATCATGAGGATACGAACAAGTGTTTAAGCGGTATTTAATTACTTCCTGTATTGTAACAGTATTAGGGATGATCGACCTACTTAGGTCGTACTCTATAAACCTCAAGGGTGTTATCGCATTTAAAGTGTCATTGGTATCTTCAGAAGTTATCTAAGGCATTTGGTCAATCCAAGTCATGAGGATATTTAGCTCATTTTGGTATTAGAGGTTGGTTTATTCATTTCAGAGCTCGAGGGTATTTAGTCATTCTAGGGCTTTGAGGTATTTTGGGTCATTTTACACTTCAGGGGTATTTTTCATTTTACGATTCAAGGGTATTTCAGTCATTTCCTTCAGTCCGGTCATTCATTTGATTTAATTTTTCTGAATAATTCAAAAACATAAATAGTAATTTCGATGTTTTATCCTTTAGGTATTTGTTGATAAATCAATAATTCTAGGTCTTGTACCTTATCAAATGTTAAGATCTGATTATCAATGACATTTCAAACAGATCATGAATTTAGCAGGTGAATTAGTAGTTTATTAGATTAAATACGAATTCTTAGGGCACTTTCACTATCAGGTTCACTCCAGATCATTTTTACCTTATATGGGTAATTTCATAATTTCTTAACCAAGTGATTTTGATATTAAAAATTTGAACGAATATAATTAGAATTTAAAGATTCTGAGGTTGATTGCTTTATCGATTAATCATTGAACTTGAAATCATTTCTTATCAGTCTTCTAGTATCTTATACTCGTAATTTGAGTCTTATTCAGTTTAATTACTTTACATCATATTCGGATCGAGTTTAGAAATATTAAGTACACACATTTAACTAAACATATTAATCTATGCATTAATCAAAACCATTATGTTCAATAAAGCATACATAAGGTAGTAATGTATTACCTCAATTTTTTAGCCACATCGGTTAACCAATGAAACACCATTTGATCGCCCTCAAACTTTAATTCCACGCCCCATAATGTCTCGGGTACATGTTAAAACAAATTACATTAGAAACGGAACTTAAACGTGAAAATTCGTATTTAATCGGGAAATAAAATTCCAAAAATAGCTTACCAAGTTTGAATTTGGCAAAATAGACTTCAAATTTGGACTCAGTACGTCGAAAAACATAAAAGATGACTTTTCGAAAATTTGACTTTTTGGTCAAAGTCAACCCTAGTCAAGGTCACAGTCAACTCTATTTAAGTCAACGGTCAATAGCTTGGTCAACGGATCGACTTATAGGCTTAAACAGCTTGACTCAACAGTGGCTCAGCTTGGATGATGGCTCGACTTGGGCCAACTCGTATCGGGTTGATAGGATCAACTCGGCTAAGGATAATCGGCTCGGCTCGAGCCATTCTAGAAGCTCCTCAGTTGAAAAAACAACCCCCACGTGCAGGAGCGACGTGTGGGGCGACTGCGATGTTCAAAATAGATGGTTTTCGGCAACCAAGTCCATGAAGTGCAACTAAACATAGTATTCAGAACTTATCAATCCAAAAACTAGCTAACACAACATAAAAGTAAACGAAAATCAAAATCGAAATTTACCCATGGTGGCCGGAGAATCGACAATGATGAAGCACAAAGAGAGTCAAATTTTGGTCAGAAACGGGTGAGAAATACCATGATAAGGGCGGTGTGTCTGAACGACGACGAAATCGATGCTAAAACGTGAAAATAACTTTGACGACAAAGGTTCTCGGTGAAGCTTTGATCATCAATTCACTGCTAATGGAGACGTTTCACTATATGGGGCTAGAGGGGTTTTGCTCACGAAAGGTTGTCGGTCAGTTTGCAATAGGCGGTGTACAACACCACTAGCCAGAGTTGGGTTCGATGGCGAGGAGCAGTGGCGAGCTAAGGGAGGGAGATAATTTCTGGAGCTTTGGGTGATCCAAACGATGCTTATTTGTTTTCTTTACTGACAACGATGGTCTGATTCAAGGGCGAGTCCCTAAACTTTCCAGAACTTCAAAAATTGTATCTAAACTTCCATAATTTCATAAATTGTCCCAAAATTAAATAAATAATTTTTAAATTAAAAGCAATTTTTGTATATATGATGTTAGTGTGAGGATAATTAGAGGTATAATATGATTATAAAAATAATATTAAATAAATTATTAATCCAAACTACTATTTAAAATATATATTAGTTTTGTTAAAAAAATAATAAGTTATTAAGTTGGCTTGGTGGTTGGGTGTTTAGCATTAGTACATGAGGAATTATAGTTTGAATCCCATGAAAAGCAATTTTTTCATCAAGTGAATCTAACAAGACGACATCATTTTGGGCTTTTTTAGCATCAAAAGAGTCATGTTAAAATGACGTCATTTTGGTAAGAGAACCACGTCAACAACGTCGCGACTTACAGCTGTCATGTCATCACCTTGTTAAGTTATTCATGTCAGGGTGGTATAATTGCATTTAAAAGTAAACATTAGTGCTAGAATTGAGAAATTAAAAGTTTGGTGGTATAAACGAGTTATTGCTTAAAGTTCAATGATATTTAATGTTGTTTATCCTAATATAAAATGAGAAAGGTTTTATTATTAATACAACCTATAATACATCTAGATCATTTACAAATTACACACATGTGTGGAACATTAATTTCTCTATATAATCAATAAATATATAAATAATTATCATTTTTCATATATAATATACAACACTCATTTATTTCCATTGTTTTTGTTTCTTTAGCTTAATTATAAAATAAATATCCAAACTATATCGTTTTTTACGAATCAATGTTCAAATTATTTCTTGAATCATTCAGGTGTCTAACGTTACTAGTTTAGGTGCTCGATCCATAACAACCTTTAAAAATCTCTGTTAAAGGACGCGTATCACATTCAAGTAATTTTTTTATAATTTTATTTAAATTTGAAACATAATATATATATATATATATATTTTAAAAATTCCATTTTTTCTAAAATTAAAAAGAAAGTCCTAGAATTAACTTATTCCAATCTTATTAACATCTATCATTGACTGCCATTGTTGTTGTCGCCGCCGTCGAATCACGCCACCGCTGATCATCATAATCTCGTCGTTGTTCAAAAAAACATTATCGTTTCCCTTTTCTGACGTTCATTTATGCACCCAAACATTTTCTCGACAACCTCCGTCATTTCCCCTCTCCATCATTCACCAATCAGCAGTTGCATCAACAACCCATCATTTTTGTTTCCCCTCTCCAAAAACAACTAAATAATCTAATAAATATGGGATTATGGTAAGATATTTAGGGATTAGGGTTAGGGATTTAAGGGGATTGGGACAACTTCAAGAGGGATGGTCGGCGGTGGAGGACCGATGATTAGTGGAAGGTCATTCGATAATTCCAAAGACGGTTGGTGATGGTCGGCGATGGTCTCTATGGGGTTGGAATAAGAATTTTAGGGTTTTTAGGGTTATTTTTTGTAATTTAAAAACAATTATTTTTTTTGAATTTAATAATATTTTTATGTTTTTAAATTTAAACAAAAATTTAAAATTACCTAAATGAACATGTGTCCGTTAACATAAATTTTTAATAGTTGTTACAGATCGGACACCTAAATTGGTAACCTTTGTAATGTTAGGCACCTAGATGATTCATAGAATAGTTTGTGCACCTATTCGTGAAAAGAGATATAGTTTGAGATCTTGTTTTATAATTAAGCCTATTTCTTTCCATAGCTATGTCATTTTGAACCGACAAGCAACAACAATACTTGCCAAAATTATACGATGCATAAAGCCACCCAACGGCAATGTTTATGCATGGTGTTAATTTTTTCTTTCATGATTCCATCCTCATATTTGGTATTATTATGTAAATTTAATTAATAATTAAAGTGTATATTTTTAAATGGTAACCAATTATCGATATATATAGTATTTAATTGAAAATATTATAGAAGAAATGATCAATTTTTAATTCCTTTAATGTAAATATGGACCAAATCGAAAGAATCAAGAATTACAAGGCTCAATTATTGGTAATTTTTGTGAGTTGAGGTCCTAATTGAAAGGAATAAAAAATGGAATGGTCTCCCAGATAGTTTATCCTTAAATAAGCAAAAGCGTAGATCTAAGGAAGCTTACGAATTGAATCGGGTTGATTATTCGGATAACTATTTAATTTAAAAGTTGACCTAAATTTTATTTTTTTAGGGAATTTAGTTTTCCCAGTAGCCTTTTTCACACTCTAAATTATTTGAAATTTCTAACCATGGTTGTATGATCAGTCGTGACGCCTGTCGTTCGCTAACATTGTTCCTTGTCATCGGACACCGTTGCGACGGCCCAAACACTCAAAAAATAGTTTTTTTTTCATTTTTTTGAGTTATAATAAAATATGAATTTAGTTTTCAAAAAACATATGTAATTGAATAGATCTAATTTTTAAAAACCACGGGTGTTATTGTCAAAAGCTCGAAGATCCGTCGTTTGATTGAGATGATCTCGAGGTTACCTTACCCACTCTTCATCGTGATGTTACTCACCATACGGATTCACGAGTTGAGGTGTTGTTCACCTAAAAATCTCAAAAAAAAAGTGTGGCATTTCAACCCTTTGCCCCTTTCCTTCAAATTTACCCTTTTTTCTTAGTTTCCATGTCTAGTGTTAATTCCTTTTTTTTTTGTGTGCATGTTTTAGGTTTCCAAAATTCAAACGATTGACTTTAATTCAGTAATTTTGAAACGACCACCAATAGTAAAGACCCAGAGAAGTACCCAAGTGGCCTCATCACACGTGCAAAGGCTAAGGAATTCCAAGCAGCCATGGCGAACTTGATCACTACAAGCTTGGGACGTGAAGAATGAGGAACAAAAAGGGAAGAACAATTTACTTATGCATAAATTTAAAGTTTCATAAACCTTTATTGCACTTAATATGTGTTAATTATTAAAGCATTCATTTCATTTAAGTTTAGTTCATTTAGGGAAGTAGTTGATTTATGCATCTAGTCATTTAATAAACTACTTAATTCATGCATTTAGTTCATTAATAGAGTTAGTTCATTAATAAAACTAGTTCATTCATTAAACTAGTACATCAATTACACTAACTCTTAATTATTCCATGCATGTTTACATTTAAAGATTGAATAAAGTTCACCTTTTTGCCTAGGTGCATTCACGTAGAAGGGAAGTTTGAACCAAGAAGGAGACCTTTCATCTTCAACCATGAGACAAGAAATTGAAGGCTATCTTAATGCTCCTATTCAAATTAATTCAAGGATAAATTCTTTTCATCTTTTCATGGTTGTTCATATTCTTGGAGAGACAATGCATTCAAGCCTTCATAATTCACCTATTCAAGACCTTATTATCATCATTTGAAGGCTATTCACGAGGAAAGCAATAAAGGCTGATTTATTTCATCATTTATCACATTCAAGTGTACAAATCAACAAGGAATAGGAAGAGACAAGGCTGATATGGATGGAAAGGGTGTCTACATACATTCAAGTCCACATTCATTCACTCATTTCATTCATATGAAGCAAACCATGGGAGATCAATATTCACCTCTTCTTTTGGATGAAAATAAGGCTAGATACATTCAAAGTTTAGCCCAAATTCATCTAATTTTAATCTACATGGTCGGCCATCAAAGGATAAGAAAACGGATAACTCATTTAAGTGAATTCAAGTGCATTTAGATGATTATTTTAATTCAATTGTTAAAACCCTTCATATGGTACCTATCAACACTATAAATAGGCACTCATTTGGCATTTGTAAGTAGAACCTTTTGCTTATATAAAACCCTTTGAAAGGTTTCTTTCATTCTAGTTCTTTTGAAGAATGTTATCGACTTCAAGTCAGACTTGCAGTCTTCATCCATTCCACTTTGTTATAACGTTAGTTACTAGCTCCATATAGCTAGTGGGTCGCGTTTCATACCCTAACACTTCATGTCCACCTTATTATATTGATAGTTCCTAACTCTATATAGTTATAAGGTCACAATCCATTCCTTGAAAATCACTTTGACCACGCCTACACCCTTCATCCTTCACCACTTTCCTTTCATCATCGTTATTCCACAACACCCAACACTCTTTCAATACCTACAACCCATTTTAACAACACTTGCAACCATTCTATTTCATTATCATATATTTCAATTTCCTTCTTACAACAATTGCAAGGGCCATTTTAGAGTTCTGGCAAAGCACTTTTGGTTTCTTACAACAATTGCCATAGAAATTTCAGAGTTCTGGCAAAGCGCTTTCGGTTTTTCACCTGAATCACGATCGAGAAACATTATATATGACTTGGACATCACAACTAGGACCATATCAAGTTTTCTATAGGATGTTCTTTTCGTGAGTGAGTTGGTGTTTGGGTTCTGATTGAGAAATGAAAATGTGAGATGAAAATAGTTTTGGGTGGATTTGGGGGGTAGGTTGACCCGATTTGAAATAGATTTTTTCAGGTTATTCTGATTGGAAATAGACTTTTTAGGTAACTCTGTTGGAAAAATATATTGGGTCTGGGGTGTAAAGAAGATTTATGTCTCAACAATTTAGATTTTAAGTTTTAATTTTATTAAAGCCACTATATACATATATGTCTTAGGATCTACTTACACTTAGTGTAAAACTTTTAGTTTTGCACCTTTTAATGATCGTTGGATGAGAGAAATCAAATACTGAGATTAACTATTATATACATATATAGGGCATGATCCAATTATATATCGCGTAAAACTTTTAGTTTTATACCTTTTTATGATTGTTAGATTAGAGAAACCAAAGGTTGAGAATAACAGTAGAAAATGTGAAGATATTTACTGGAAAAATAAGGAATTAATCTCAGCCTTTGATTTCCCTCATCTAACGAACATAAAAAGGTGTAAAACT